GCGGGCCCCTCATCCCGCCCTGTCCCCCCATCATCAGTAGCCCCACAGCCTGCCCCTCCCCCCCGCCATTATCATCATCATCATCAAACTGGTTATCTTCCTCCCCCCCCCCCCGCCCAGTCATCGACGTCACCCGGACTGGGATCCCAGGGGGCGGGGCCCAGGCGCTCGGGAGGGGGCGGAGCGACGCCGAGGGGAGGGGCTGGGGAGAGACGCGGAAAAGGACAGGAAGGCGTGGCCTGCGGGGCGGGGCTGCCGCCGTTGCGTGGGAGCGCGGTGGGCGGCGACACCCGGTCGAAAGGCATCACGGGAGCTGTAGTCCCCGCGTGCCGGGCAGCGCACGGGGGCGGCCATGCTCCGCGCGGTGCCTCACGGGAGCTGCGGAGCGCACCGAGCAGGAAAAGAGGGAAAAATGGGGAAAAGAACCGCAGGGTGACACGGGCACGGAAGGCTGCAGGGCCGGGGGGCCGCAGGAAAGGCCGGAGGACATTCCTGACCTCCGCGCGTGCCTGGCCCCCCGCGCCCTCCGGCCTCCCCGGGCCTCGGTCACAACCCCGCTCCCACCTCTGCTTCCAAGAACGAGCGCTCCTCCCTGAGCAGATTTTTAATTAACTCGAGATTTTTTTAAAGTAACTCTTGCTTTTTAATGAGCTCGAGGGACTTTTAAAATCGACCTGTGATGAAGGCAATTCGACAGGCGTCAGTCGAGCCCCTCGGAAAATTGCGAGACCGTGAACGAAGGAAGAGGGGAGAGGGRAGAAGGGAGAGGGGAGAATCGCCGAGTGATTGGGGAGAACSGTCGACAGTTGTTGGACCCGAAACTGCCCGAGTCGGGGCTACAGCTCGTGCTATTTGGGAACGCAATCCATAATTGCACTAAATAAATCCATAATTAAATTAAATTAAAATTTAATTTTAATAAATTAAATTTAACTAAATTAAATTTAACTAAATTAAATTTAACTAAATTAAATTTAACTAAATTAAATTAATTTTTTAAATTAAAAAAATTTAATTTAATCAACTCCGTAATTGGTAAGCCGGGCCTATAGTTCCCCCCCGATTTGGTATTGCTCTTAAGAGCTGAGTCCAGCCGCGCCTGGTCTCTGCAGCCTTTGCGGAGCGGCCGGAACGCGCGGAGATCCGCTCATCTCTTACCAAGTTTGACCCCCCTTCAAAGCACAAGCGGCCCCCGCGTCGCCCTCCACGGGCTGCGTAGAGGCCCGGCCTCTACAGGATCCACGTGTCCCCCTGGGTGCCTCATATGGGCCCAGGTGAGCTCCGTGGGCTGCAGACGCGCTTGATCGGGCTCTACGGGCCACCCATGGCCCCTTCGCCCCTGTACAGGCCCGCGTGGTCCCTACGGGCCCTGCACAGACCTCTGGGGACTCCATATGAGCTCGGGGAGCCCTGTATGGCCTTCCATGGCCCTATACGGACCTGCTTGGGCTCTGCAGGCCCCACATGCATCTCCACAGGCTTCCTATGGGCACCAACGGGCTCTATGGGYCTGGACRGACCTCCAGAGGCTCCATACGGGCCTGGACGGACCTCCAGAGGCTCCATATGGCCCCAGATGGCCTCCACAGGCTCCATACGGGCCTGAGTTGACCTCCATGGACTCCCTGCGGGCCCAGATGGGCCCCGCACAGACCTCCATGGACTCCCTATGGACCCATATGGGGTTGACATATGGCCCAGATGGGGCCCATATGGGGTTGATTGAGCTCTACAGGCCCCATATGGCCCTCCGCGGGCTCCATACAGGCCTAGGCTACCCATATGGCCCCCGCCCATCCCGCTGCAGGCCCCATACAAACCCAGCCGACTCGAAGGGCCCCRCGCAGGTCTCCATGGGGCCTATATGAGCCCAGCAGGCCCTCCAGGCCCCTCCAGGCCCAGGTGGGCCCTACAGGCCGCACGTGGCCCTCCGTGGGCTCTATACAAGCCTGGACAGGCCCTATGGGCCCTAAACAGCCTTCCCCGAGCTCCTCCCGGGCTCTACGGATCCCMCGCGCACATCCGCGGGATCCATATGAGCCGGGTCGGGCCCTATGGGCCCCCTCGTGGCCTCCCACCACTTCCATACTGGCCTGGGCAGGTTCTGTGGGCCCCATATCCGCAGGGCCAGGCGCGCCCTATAGGCGTGGCGCGACCCTCGGGGGGCTCCATATGGGCTGGGCCTCGGTGGAGGCCGGGCAAGCTCTACGGCCCCACGTGGGCCTCCACGTGCCTGTGCCGGCTCTACGAGCCCCGCTCGGCCCGCTGCAGACCCCGTAGGAGCCCGGGCAGGCCCTGTACCACCCAGCGGGATCCTATAGGCCCCATACAGGCCCGGACAGGCCCTACAGGCCCCGCTCGGCCCGCTGCAGACCCCGTAGGAGCCCGGGCAGGCCCTGTACCACCCAGCAGGATCCCATAGGCCCCATACAGGCCCGGACAGGCCCTACAGGCCCCGCTTGGCCTCCTATAGGCCCCATAGGAGCCCGGGCAGGCCCTGTACCACCCAGCGGGATCCTATAGGCCCCATACAGGCCCAGACAGGCCCTACAGGCCCCATATGGACCTCCACGGGCTTCCCGCAGGCCCCACATTGCCCTGTATGGGGACACAGTGACCCCAGGGACTCCATACAGGCCCTTGAGGCCCYGTGCAGCCCTCCCCGGAGCGCGGACGGGCCTGAACGGGCCCCTGTAAGGGCTCTACAGGCCCCGTGCCGGCCTCCGTGCGACCCACCGGGCCGGCGCGGCCTCACGTGCTCCGAAGGGGCCTGCAGGGCCCTGTGGGCTCCATACAGGAGCCCTGCAGCCCCCACCCAGGTCTCGGCGGGCCTCCTGTGGGCCCGGAGAGGCTGTAGAGGCCCCGTGCGGGCCTCCGCAGGCCCGGGCGATCCCCGCGGGCCCCAGGCGGGTTCCGTGCAGGCCCGCAGAGGCCCCGGGGGCTCTTCTGAGCCCTCCACAGGCTCCATCCGGGCCTGGAGGGCCCTACAAGCCCCGCTCAGCCCCCCGCGGGCCCTACACGAGCCCAGGCAGGCTCTACGAGCCCCGTCTTGGCCTTCACCCGACCTGTAAAGACCCAGGCTGGACCCACGGCCCCGAGCGGCCTCCTGCAGGCTCCATACAGGCCTGGGCGAGCACTACGGGCTCCATACGGGCACGGGCGAGCCCAAGGGTGCCATGGACCCCCCAGGGGCTCCGCACAGCGTGAGCCGCTGCAGGCCCCGTAAGGGCCCAGCAGGCCCTATGGGTCCCGTATGGCCCTCAAAGGGCTCCATTGAGGCCCGGGTGGGCTCTGCAGACCCCACACAGACCTCCCCGGGCTCCATGCAGGCCCAGGCAGTCTCTACAGGACCCGAGTGCTCCCTGGGGCCCATATAGCACCAGGTGGGTCCTACGGGCCCCGCCGTGTGCTCCGTACGGGCCCTGCTTGCGCCCGCGGACACTGCGTGAACCCCGAGGGCTGCGGCCGGGCTGGAGGGGCCCCAGCGTCTCATACAGAGCCTCCATACATAAGAGACCGGGGGGGCCCTTATGGGTCTTCAGGCGGCCCCCCAGGGCCTCCCTGCGCTCAGGGTAAGCGGGGCCTTTGTGAGGCCTCCCGCAGCCTCCCTGCACATGGGGCGGGGGTCCCCATGGGCCGTCACAGAGCCCCCCCCAGCCTCCGTGCACATGGGGTTGGGGGGGTCCATACAGACCTTCATGAGGTCCCATTGCGGCCTCCGTGCACCCAGGGCTGGGGGCCCGAGGGGCCTCCATGGGGCTCCCTTGGAGCCTCCCTGCACATGGGGCTGGRGTCCCCACAGGCCTTCATGCAGCCCCCCAAAGCCTCCCTGCACACAGGGTCTCTGCCCTCGTTAGCTGGCACCACATCCCTAATTAACGCCGGCCTCCGGATCAAGGGCTCCAGGCTGCCGCTCAAGCCCTCCCTTCCTCCGCGGGCGCCGGGATGCGCGGCGCGTTTCCCATGAGCGCGGCTCCCATGTCGCCACGGGAGCAGGCGGGATCCGGGAGCTCCCTTCCCGGGAAGGCTCCGTGCGGCTCCGGGAGGCCGGGCCTCGAGTCCGCGCGGGCTCGGGGCGGCGCCAGGCCTGCGTGGCCCGCGGAGGCCGCCCGCAGTCCCACCTCCATTCCAAGGGATTGCTGCTTCCAGGGGATTCCTGCTTTGCTTCCGGGTAGTTCCCGCTTGGACCGCGGGGGCCTCCTGCTTCCACTGCAGCTGCCGCCTGCGTGAGTGCAGGCTGTTCCTGCTGCTTTCCCTGGTGACTCCGCACAATCCTAGTTTGAACTCCAGCTCATTCCCATCTCAACTCCGAGGGATCTCAGTGTGCACTCCAGGCAATTCCTGCTTCCCTCGCAGCCCTTTTCTCTCACCGGAGCCTCTGGGCTCCTTCTCTCAACCTCCCGAGGGCTGTGGGGAAGCGGCTCCGACCGGGAATCCGCACCGGGCCCCGTGGGACAAGGAAGGGGACACACAGGGATGGCAGGATCCGCACGCAGGAGCGGGTGCAGGACGTTCAGGGAGGGAAGGAAAACAGGAAGGGAAATCAAGGCACGTGGGAACGCGGTGGGACGCGGCCCCCCCAGCACGCGAGACCCCCCCCGACACACGGACGCGGCTGCGGCTCCGTTGAAGAGTTTATTGCGCTGGGAAGAGCGGCGGGCGCCGGCGGCGTGCGGGGACGCGACGGTGACGCTGCACGCGGGCCGGACTCGGCGCCGCCGCCGCAGCGGCTATGGCATCGAGTGGGAGAACAAGAGCAGGAAGGCCGGGAGCGACTCTGCGCCCTCGCGCCAAAATAAACGCGGCCCTTCGAGGAGGACAACGGGGGGCTACGGGGCGGCAAGCGCGGGGGGCCGCGGCGGCGCTAGCTCAGACCTGAGCCTAGACCAGCTAGGGGAGAACAGGGCACCTAAAAGCAAAGCAAACCCTGGAAAAAAGGCTTGGAAAAGAAAGGAGGCTAGAGGGAGGCGAAGCTACTGCTCGCTAGACTACGCGGAAGCAGCCGTGTCCGTTAGGAAGGAGCTCCGGAGCCGCGGGGGTTGCCCGGGAGCGCAGCGCGGAGGGGTCCCGCGCGGCAGGCGCCGCCGGCCGGCCGCCAGCCTCTTACCTGCAAGAGAAAAGCAGAGCGGGGTGAGCGGCGGGCGGCCTGCGGCGGGGCGGCGGCACCGGCTCCCGACGGAGCCTCGCGGACTCCCCGTCCTCCCCAGCCTGGCTCCTGGCACGGGGCCCCGTTAGCGGGCGCGCAGCGGCGCCGGCTCCCCGTTAATGGGCGCGCACGGCGGCCCCGGCTCCCCGTTACCGGGTGCGCCGCGGCCCTGTGGCCTCGGCTTCCAGTTAAGGGGAGCGCAGCGACCCCAGCTCCCCGTTAAGGGGCGTGCAGTGGTCCCGGCTCCCCGTTAACGGGCGCACACGGCGGCCCCGGCTCCCCGTTAAGGGGTGTGCGGTGGTCCCGGCTCCCTGCTTACGGGCGCACAGCGGCCCCAGCTCCTCGTTAAGGGGCGTGCAGTGGTCCCGGCTCCCCGTTAACGGGCGCACACGGCGGCCCCGGCTCCCCGTTAAGGGGTGTGCGGTGGTCCCGGCTCCCTGCTTACGGGCGCACAGCGGCCCCAGCTCCTCGTTAAGGGGCGTGCAGTGGTCCCGGCTCCCCGTTAACGGGCGCACACGGTGGCCTCGGCTCCCCGTTAAGGGGTGTGCAGTGGTCCCGGCTCCCTGCTTACGGGCGCACAGCGGCCCCGGCTCCCCGTTAAGGGGCGTGCGGTGGTCCCGGCTCCCTGCTCACGGGCGCACGGCGGCCCCGGCTCCCCGTTACCGGGTGTGCCACGGCCCTGTGGCCTCGGCTTCCAGTTAAGGGGTGCGCGGCAGCCCCGGCTCCCCGTTAACAGGCACGTGGCGGCCCCGGCTCCCCGTTACCGGGCGCGTGTGGCGGCCCCGACTTCACAGGCACGCAGCGGCTCCCCCTTAACGGGCAAGCAGCAGCTCCGGCTTCCCGTTAACGGGCAAGCAGCAGCTCCGGCTTCCCGTTAACGGGCACGTGGAGGTCCCGATCCCCCCTTAAGGGGCGTGCGGCAGCCCCGGCTTCACGGGCACGCGGCGAGCCCGGCTCCCCGTCACCGGGCGCGTGTGGCGGCCCCGGCTCCCCGTTAAGGGGTGCGCAGTGACCCCGGCTTCACGGGCACGCAGCAACCGTGGCTCCCCGTTAACGGGCACGTGGCGACCCCGGCTCCCCATCATCGGGCGCACGCGGTGGCCCCGGCTCCCCGTCCACGTCTCCGCCGCCCCGGCAACTCGGCCCGCGCGGCTCCTGGCCTCGCCCAGGGCCTGTGCCAAAGCCGCTCCTCTTTTACCTGCGTGGCGGCTCCAACCCGGAGCTTCCCGTTGGGAAAGGAGGGGGACAGGGGCAGGAAAGCGGAGCGGCGCCCTGGGCCGCGGCGCCTCCYGCCAGGCTCTCACCTCCGGCTCAAAACGCGGAGTAGCGCGCCCTGTCCGCGTACGGGTCCCGCCCGAACCGCTGCACGTCGTAGAGGGAGGCCCGAGCCACGGACGAGACCGGCGACAGCTGACTACGATCGTACGAGTACGCCTCTCCGACGGTGGTGGCCGCGGCTGCCGTGCGGCGCAGGGGGCTTCTATCGCGGGTGTAATAGGTGGAGGAGGCGGCCGCGGCGGCCGCGGTGGCGGCGGCGGCCACGGCGGCTGCCGCTCCCGGGGTCGGCAGCAGCGCTCTATCGTAGGGGTCTAGCGCGGCGGGGAGGCGGCTGGCCATGGCCGTGCTGGCCGCCATGGCCGTGGACTGCACCTGCGAGTACTGCGCGTACTGCGAGTACTGGGCCATGGTCTGCTCCGCGTAGGCGTCGTACGCGGAGGCCGTGGCGTAGGACCTCACGCGGTAGCGCTTGTAGTAGTCGACCATTCCGCCATACGCGTCATCGTAATACATGGTCTCCCCATAGCCCGCGGGGTAGGGAGTGCGCACCGCTCCGTACTGCTCATTATAGGCCTCGGTAAAGTCAGCCACTTGGCCCGGGCGATCTACGGGACACTCTTTAGACCAGTGCCCTTCCTTCCCGCACCGGTAGCAGCCGCTCTTGTCTCCCATCCCGGGCGCGGTCCTGAGCCGGCTCGTGGACAACTGCACGCGCATCCGCTTGCCTTGAAGAAACAGACGCAAGAAGGGGGCGAGAGTTAAGGGAGGCCGCGGCAGAGCATTCGTTATACAGCACGGCAACGCACGGCGGGCCGGAGGCCGCGGCGGCGGCGGGAGGAAGCGTGGACGGCGCCGCGCGCCGGCACAGCCACTTACCGGGCGGCGGTCGCGAGCCCCTCGAGCGTCCCGGTCCTGGCGCCGCCGCTCGTTAGGCAGCTCGCTAACGAGCCCCGCGGCCCCGGGCACCTGCGCCCTCGCGCTCCGAGCGCCACAACGAGACACCGGGGACCTTCCCGAACGGGAYGGGGACGGAGCGGGACGGGGAGCTCCCGTATCCCGGGACGGCAGCCCCCGTTGCGGCTGCAAATCCCGACTCTCCCGAGCGGGACAGGGACAGAGCAGGACGGGGAGCTCCCATATCCCGGGGCTGCAGCCCCCGTTGCGACTTTGGGCACAAATCTGGACTCTCCCGAGCGGAGCGGCTCGGGAACAACGACACGGATGCCGGGTGGGGAGAAACGAGCGCTGCCTAAGGAAGCTGGCACCAAGTGGGGAGCCCCGACGCGCTTCGGAAGGCGCCTYGGGAGCCCGGGAACACACGGGAGACCCCGGGAAGCAGGCGGAGCGGCGAGCCGGAGATGGAACCTGTGCCGGTCTCAAGCCGAACGGCCTCGGAAGGGGCAGGAACCCGCGGCCCCCGTGGGCAAGTGACTACGGGAGGCGGAAAGCGGCCGCCGCGGGGAGGCTCTGACCTTGTGAGCGCCATCCGTAACCCTACGGCAATTGGAAACTGGAATAGGGAAAAGAACCGTTGGTCTAACGGGCTCCTCTCTGGCAGTCTGAGCTCTGCATCCTCACGGAAAGAAGGATTTGTCAGCACCCTGCCCTGCTTCCCAGCCGGCAGCGCCAGCATCCCGCCTATCCCCCCGGAGCGTGGGGAGCCGGGCCGCCCCCGAGGCTCCAGGAAAGCCTCGAGCTGAGCCCCAAGGGGCTCGGAAGCACTTCCCGAGGGAAGCGGAGCGGGACGGCCGCCCTTCCCGGCGCTGCTGCGCCCGCCCCCGCTTCCTGGGGCGCTGCTTCACCTTGGAACTCGGTGTTGTCGAGGCCACGCAGGGCCTCGACGGCGTCCTCGGCGCGCTCCATGTGCACGAACGCATAGTCCTTGACGATGTCGCACTCGATGACGGGGCCGTACTCCTCGAAGCGGGCGCGCAGCTCCAGGTTGGTGCACGT